TAGTTTGTCATATAATGTTAGTCTTTATACTTACTCTGAGATTCCCAAAGATCCCGATTAGAGATGTCTTTATAATGTCTTACACACTGTCCTGAGTATTGCGATGGTACCTAGGAAAWTAGTCTGAATGGGATCTCTTTGTGCTGGATGGGATCCATTAAAAAATATTATTTTCCTTGCAAGAGATCCAAAGTCTCATCTAAACTAGCTAACACATTAAATACTCCAGTGTGCATGTTTTGTTTTCAAAACGTGTTACTTAAACAGTGCTRTTTTCTTTCTAATACTGAAGAGCTCAGACAATGTCACTTGGCTGTGTCACTCTCAGAAGCTATGGAAGATATGTAGTGTTTAGCCAGCTTTTTGCACTGTCTAATTTTGTGCTGGCAGGCTGAACTCCTGAGGTATGTTAGATGAGTCTCTGAGCTGCCTTAATTTATGCTAGCCAAACCATTTCCTTCTGCACCATTTCACAGGTGCAGGATCAGCAGAGCAATTCATGTTCCACTCCCYGACTGCCCCTGCTCAGTGTCTTACCACAATCTATCCCTGAATTCCCAGCAAGGGGACAAATGCTGCCACCAAGCTTAAAAAAGCTTTATTGATCTGAGAATGCTGAGACTCTGCACAACACAAATTGCAACTGCATTCCTCTACCACAATGCTTGAATGTGACCAAAATCTTCACTCTCAATTTTTTGCTAGCATTTTAGTTGCATCAGGCCACACAGTAGGACAGAAGGCTSCATCTGGTTCCTTCCCAGAGAATCAATCTCTTTCGATTTTGTGTTTGGCAAAATTAAAAAAAAAAATATTTATCAAACCCTTCTGGAATAAAAATGTGGCCTCAAACTCTTCAGCTGAAAGAAACCATCCAATCTCCCTGCAGTTTTTTCCTGGTGTAAATGTGCAATCTAGCTGCCTCATTGTTGCTCTGGAGTTTAAGTGGATACTCAAATAAATAAAAGTGACACCTGCYGCAGGCCAGTTCCCATCTCTATTTGATTATGTTGTTTTCTTACAGAAGATTTCTGATGTCTGTAGCTAATACAGAAACTTAAGGGTGATAATTGAACAAATCAGTTTAGTTGGGCATCTGATTCTGTGCAAACCTAAGTGGAATAGTAATGTGTGACTAATACACAACAGCACTTTGCATAAGATAAAGATCCATGTGTAACTTATGCAAGCCCAAGACACTGTGGGAAGAAAACACCAAAGATATTGAACAGTATGTATATCTGCTCCTCTGTGCCAAAGTGCAACCTTTTTCTGGACAGTGCTGTAAGGACAGTGAAGCAGGACCTTCACTCTCTACCATCAGGTACCCTGAGATCCCACTGTTCTCTTTTCATTTCCACTCTGTAAACATGTGAGAAACTTCTCACTCCTGATGCTACATAACTGACCATAGAGTTTCTGCCTGCTGATAAGGCAGGAGGCKCATTTAAAAGGAGTATCTGGGATGCTGCAAATCTAGTTTTCTGTTACATAACAATAAAAAATAAAACACATCACATTTTTGTTGTTTCTGTGCAAATAGAAAATCATTACATGTTCACAACTCTCTGGCCTTAATTCTGAGTTTGCCTATGTTGGTATTTCATTTTAKGCCTCTTAAGCTGATTTAAAAAAGGATTTCTTGGGGCTGAAGGGGAGAGAGGCATGGATATTTTTCACTGGCATAGCCTGGGAATGATGAAGAGTTGGTCAACAGACTTGGAGCCACTGAAGTGTATCCTAGAAGATGACCTTTTTTAAATAGCCCCCTCCAGAAATGCTGAGTATCTACACTCAGGTCTGTGGATCACGTGCAGTAACTTCAGTGGATCCAAGAGATAGTAAGACTGTCCTGCAGCAGTGAYACCTCTCTGTACACGCCACATATATGGGCCAACAAGCAATGTCAGAGTTGTCACATGAATAAGGACCAGCTGTCAGGTGTCTTCAGTTCCTCTACCACATCCCCAGTGAGTTCAGCACAAAACATGCCACAGCCACTGCTCACTGGCCCACCAGCCTCTGGAGCAGGATGCTGGAAGAACATCATACAACAGTTAAAATGATGCTCCCACTGGTAATTCTTCACAGGAAAGCAATGAAGTTATTGTGGGAAGAGTAGCTCTGGTGAGACCCCACCTGCATCCAGTTCTGGGGTCCCAGCACAGGAAGGACRTGGATCTGTTGGAGCGAGTCCAAAGGAAGGCCACCAAATTAATTAGAGGGATGGAGCACCTCTCTTGTGAGGAAAGGTTAAAAGAATTGGGACTATTGAGCCTGGAAAAGAGAAGGCATTAGGGTAACCTAATTGTGGCCTTCAGGGATGGCAATAAGTTAAGCGAGCCTMCTGGAAAAATGGAGAGAGACCTTTTATAAGATCATGTAGTGACAGAACAAGAAGGAATGTTGTCAAACTGAGAGAGAATAGGTTCAGATTAGACATTAATAAAAAATTGTTTGCTATGAGGTGGTGAGACACTGGAACAGGTTGCCTAGAGCAGTTATGCATATCCCATCCCTGGAAGTGTTTAAGGCCAGTTGAATGGAGCTCTAAGCAACCTGGTCTAGTGGAAAGTGTTCCTGTCAGCGACAGCGGGTTGGAATTTGATGATGTTTAACCTGGTTTCCAACCGAGGCCATCGGATGGTTCCATGAACAGGCTCCGGGCAAGGCCTCCGTGGCGCGGTGCTGGCACCTGGTGGCCGCTGCGGCCACTGCCGGCCCCGCTCTCCCCGGTGTGGGCACTGCCGGCCCCGCTCTCCCCGCTGCGGCCACTGCCGGCCCCGCTCTCCCCGCTGTGGGCACTGCCGGCCCCGCTCTCCCCGCTGCGGCCACTGCCGGCCCCGCTCTCCCCGCTGTGGGCACCGCCGGCCCCGCTCTCCCCGGTGTGGGCAC